GATTTGCGAATTTGGCGTGCAGAAACTAGTCTTTGCATTTGCTCACGTCTGTAGCGTATAACCCTTGGACAAATGATGGGGACTGAATTGACCAATCAGAGCGCACGCTTTACTTTGGTTGTGCTGTAAATGGATGTGTCCTAACCAGTCACCATTATATGTACCGAGAGCAGGGTGGCGAAGGGTTTCTATGATGAAGCCCAAAATGAATAGCATAGGCGTGAAGTTTACAGAAAGGAAGGTAAGATAAGACCCCTCGTCCTCCATGCTACCCTTTTAAGGCCAATTGACTCTTCTATACTAAAAATTAAGAGAAGCACTAAGCAAAATAACTCCTTTATTTCCCTTTCAGATTTCGCCATTGCCATGTTATTTAATATACTTAAGAGGATTCTCTTCAAACTATGACTATCAATTGTGTGTATATCCATCTGTGATCATTCATAAAATAAGATTTTATTGAAAGTGTTCTAAATCATGTTTTGCCTCTGGTCCCTTCTTCATTTACTCTTAACCGTGTGGTTTATCTATATGGAGTCGTCGAGGATTGACAGACTAAGATATCGGTTGAAGAGAGGAAAAGTTAGTTTAAATACAAAAATAACGCAAACAAAACAAAAATAATAAGCTCTTTGAATCTAAGCCATGAAAATGTCTTACATATAAAACTAAATGTTATTAAATGTTATTAAATGTCTTACATAAAAAAACTAAATGTTATTTCCTGAAAATCGTACAAAACAGTTAGGAATTGAACGGAATCCGTACACAAAGATTTTTTGAAATAATGTCGGTTTGTTAACTTTTTGCTTTCCTTTCTTCTTCAATTCATCTCCAACGAAACAACAGAAACCAAAGCCTTGCCGAAAATAAAGCCTCATGACGAGAATAAAGCTAACTGATCCTTGTCTGCTGTGCATATCATATTACTGTTATACCAAACATCAGCTTCAAAACTAATCTTTACTTACTTGACGTTGATTTATCATTACTTCTCCTTTCACCGAGTCTCGTATACTACCCATACTTTGACTAGTAGACGACAATATTCAGAAACTAAGGACTTCTTTTCTTAACCGAGAGAAATACTTCCAATTTTAAACATCTGAGAGCGTCAAAACCCTCTCCAACTGCAACTACCTAGTTTTATACAATTTTATTAGATATTCTTGTGGGTTGTCATTTTTTCTGGGGTTAATCATCCTCCTCCGGCCTGTACTTCGCCTGTCGTATTTGACTCAGTTTATTTCTCGCTGCAGCCAGCTCTTTTTCGATGCGCAGGATCTTCTCTTGAGCTTCCAACTCCTGCGCAATTCCACCAACAAACCGCTGATTTATAACAACCGTGGTCTCTTGTTCTTCAAAGACAGCCGCACTCTTAGCCGCGGTTACCAAGTTGTCTGCGGCTCTCTTAACGGCATTGCCGGCAATCTGTAACGACACACCATAACAAACTCTTACTGTAAGATAAAAAACAACTGAATACAGAATCGTATTTTAATTTTTCGTTTAAACAGTAGGACTATTACATGCGATCAGTGAACTGCAACCGTCGAGTAATTTAGTGAGAGAAATCATTTGTAAAAAAAAAAAAAACAAAACAAAAAAAACAATTTGTCTTTCCTACGCTCAAAAATTGAGACAGACGACTTGAAAAATCAATGCAACAGGGAAAAGATTTTAGGGTAAAAAAAACAGAAATTCAGACTGATATTTCAAAAACAAAAAGAGAAAAATATCCAAAGGCGGCCTGAATAGGGTGTGACTAAGAGGTAGAGTGAATTTTTCCATGAAGTTACAACAACCAAACTGTCTAAAAGTTCTGCCATTCAATAAAGCTGAACAGCATCATGCTAAGCCTTGTCATCCGAATGACGGCATTCTTTTCGTTTTCTTATTACACACTGATACGCAAAGATACAATCCGGTTAGGCGATCACAACTTCGTTAGCTCCAATCTTTTATCTTAGACCAAGAAAAGGGTCATTTCAGCGCACTCTTAACCCTCTCTCTCTCTCGGCAAAGATTCTACCCTGGAACGTTATTCTCTCTTGGTGTCCTTTAATCATAGCTTTTTTGAGATGAAGGTTAGTCGTCTCTTTTAAGTTTGTCCAATAACGCGGTAACCTTTCGCATAGCTTACAAAGCACTCCGACAAAGTGTATGTAACCTACTGTCCTCAGAATACCCATCATGCACCACATACCTGTAGTCTCCTCTGTGTGTCACTGTTGGAGTCAGCTTTTACTCTACATGCTAACAGCAGCTGCGCAGTAGAATTCGACACTTGTTTAGCTCCGGCTATCAGCCTTTCCTCGCTTGCGTTACCCTGGACGGCCGCGTTAGCCGCATCACACAACGTTGTCGTGGCTGCTGCTACCATACGCGCCTGAAATTGACAAACTTTATATTTAGACGGGTTTAACGAGGTCTTGCTTCGTCACGCAAAAGGTAACGCGGCGTGATTTCGATTGAAAACAACGGTAACAGAGGGCTCTATAATTTTAAATTACAAACAGGATGGCGAGTAGGTTTAAGTTGGTGATTTTGGAATCTCTAGTCACGCAATATGGAAAATAGTACCTTCTTCTGTCAAATTATGACTTTTCTCGAGTATCATATTAGCAAGTGACGTCATTTTAACAGAAGAGTTATGCTACAGATTTCCGGAATGTTCTAGCAGACTCTATAATGTCTATAAGGACCAGTTATCTTCTTGTGATGGTCGCTGGCGTTGGTAGAGACGTACGTTTTGGAGAGGTGATACAGAGAGAGCTTTGGAAAGCAACTGTAGTTTACTAGGGAAGTTTGTTGGTACTGGAAAAGATTTAAAGTGAGAAGCACTAAGTCTGAGATTTGGCTAGGGGTGACTTAGGAGGTTAGGGGGTTCCCTCTGCAAATAAGAGATCATTG